TTTCACAATATGATGTCTGCAAATCGAATTTCTTATTCTATAAGAGCACTCGACTCATTCAAGATTTTAATCCAAACACTAATAAATAATAATAGTCGCTCTAATTCAAATCTAGCTAACAAGAAAAGAATTTTTTTTTTTTTTTTTTGGGCAAGATGAATTTTTTTTTAATATGTTTTAAATTATTTTAAGCGAGACTCGTTTGCACTATTTGAAAATTTTAGGACTTTGATTGTAATTATTTTTTTATATTATTTATTTCTTTTCTAATTGTGTTATTTGAAGAGCATGATAAATTAGTCATTTTACAATATTTTAATAAAAAAATAAATGGCAATTACCTTTTGTACAGAGAAAGGTCAATTTGAGGGTCCAACGCTAAAATTGAAATGATATGAATGATTTACGCAGCGAAGATAAATTATAGGTACACTTTGCGCCAAATAACTATATTTAACATAATGAATTGACAGAATGAGATGAAAATGACCTACTCTGCAAGAAAAAATGTTGAAATAATGGTACAAATGTCATGTTTAAAATGATAAGAACAATTTGCTCAATGGGTGCAAATGATTATGATTTTTCACATATTTTCAAGCATTGCCTATACAAGAAAATTGTTGAAATGATGGTACAAATGTCAAGTTTAAAATGATAAAGAACAATTTGCTCAATGAGTGCAAACGATTAGAACATTTTGCACAAATTATCTTATATTTTCCCTCTTTTTCAAGTATTTTCAACCATTGCCTGTACAAGTACTTGGTCTTTTTTTTTTACCTAACTCGAAGTCATTAGATTCTGAAGTAATGTTTAAAAAATCCCGACGACGATGTGCTCAAGCCTTCATTGGTCAGGTGCCTCTAATGTTGTTATTTTGAAAAAATTAGAGTGCTCAAAGCAAGTAGGTGCTCGGGATACATTAGCATGTGATAACATTATAGGATTTCGATCCTATTAAGTTGGCTTCCGTGATCAGAATAATGATTAACAGGAACGGTCGAAGACATTCATATTTTATAGTCAGTGGTAAAGTTCTTGAATTTATAAAAAAACGAATAATTGTGAAAGGATTTGCCAATAATGTTTTCATTAATTAAGAATGAAAATTGGGGATTCAAAGACGATTAAATACCGTCATAATCTTAACCATAAATGATGTCAATCAGTGATTGACTGATGTTGCTTTTGGGACTCCAAAGGAGCTCCTTATTAGTTGGCACATATACTACGGAATCACATCTTAGTATATAACTCGTAGTAAACTCATTCATGATTAAAGGGAAATATCATGGCTTAAGACCTTACTTTAGTGTAAACTCATTCATGATTAGAAAAAATGCAGACTTAAGCAAACATTCTACTAATTTCAATTCCTCAAAAAACTATTATTAGAATTGAAATTAATATCATATTTTCAAGAAACTTTTTAAAAGTAAAACTCCCTTCATATCAAAGAACAAAAGCTTGAAATTAAGCCTTTGTTTGATCCCCATTTTTTCAAAATATATTTTTCTTTCTCTTTCAATCACACATTAATAAAATAATATTACATGCATATTCAATTTTTTTATTTTTTAATTATACATTATTAATCCATTTATTCTTCCAAAATGCATTTTTTTTTTTAAAAAAAAATGAGGCTCAAACGTGTGCTAAAGTTTCTAATGACTCTTATTTTAACTTTTCCAAATATAGAATATGTTTGGCTTTTTATATTTGGAGAGTCATACTCAGTCTCAAATTGTATTTTATCACGTTTGCATTTAACAAAATTGAAAGTGTTAATGCTGAACTTCTATGGTATTGAGCCTTTGTTTGCTTTTGATTTTCTTAGAATCACATTTCTTAAAACTCATTTTCAATATCACATTTTTCAAATAACTGTTTTTTACGTAGATCAATAACCTTTTTTGTTTTTTAACTTTTTAACCACATTTTCTTCAAAACGTCACTTTTCAAAAAATCAAAATCAAACAAGTGCAGATATTTTAGCAATTGACACCTACAAAAATATATTAATTGAAATTTGAGGAAAAACAATAAATGATTTGTTAAAAAAAAAAACCCAAAAAATAAAGTTTTTCCGAATTGCATAACAAAATTTACTTTTTAAATTTAAAAATATTTTCTATTATGATTAAATATCTCCCTTAGATGTTCTAAATATGTTAGAATTTTTACTCAATATTGTCTAATTATAATTAGATTGTATTTGTGTATAGATTTTTCTTACTTTTAATGAGATTATTTAGAATCCCACGTTGTGATTGATTTTAGAGTCCAACTTCTGATCGTTAACAATCAGAAGTTGTTTTAGGGTTTGATAAATTAAAAAAAAAAATGATCATCAAAGAAAATAAATTGAGAAATTAAATTGCTACCAATCTGATGATAAAAAATAAGTTAAATTTACTATCGATGAACGACGATAGTAACTATAACGGTCCTAAGGTAGTGAAATTTCTTGTCAGGTAAGTTCCGATCCACACGAAAGGTGTAACAATCTGGGCACTATTTCAAAGAGATGCTCGATGAAATAGACATGTCTGTGAAGATACAGACTAACTGCACCTAGACAAAAAGACCATATGAAGTTTCAC